CAAGCAAGTGTGGACAGGATGGCACCCTTTGTGTATAAAAGCAAATGAGAGAATTGTAAAAAAAAAATAAAAATTGAGCAAAACTGCCACTAAATATTTACTTCTACTAAAATATTTTGAGAGTCAAAGTAGAATTCAAATATTTCACTGCCAGTGAAATGATTCATAGTTAAACAAACAGCAAAGTTTTTGTTTTTTTAAAAGTGTCTGCTCCTTGTGCACACAGTGTTCTTCTCTCCTGGAAAGGAACTTATTATTATAACAGGAGAACCACTAGTCCCTGGCCTGTTTTTGCCTTTACCTTGTGTAAGAGGTTTCTTGCGATTTCAACAGAGGAAATGATAGATTCTGAATTTGCTAGGATAAATGTCAAAGCTATGTTCTCGTCTTACATCACTGTTCTGCACATTTATTGATGCAGTGGGGGTAAGGCACATTCTAATAGTATTCTAAATTTTTAAATACCATAAATGCAGCATAGATCCACAGCTGCTGTAAGAGCCCTCTGCACAGATATCATTTCATGAGGAAAAAATAATCTCCACCTGTATTCTGTTTGTGAGCAATAAAGCATGATTTTGAATGAAACATAAACCCTTCATTTAACACCGTAAAGTGAAAGGCGCAAATTAGTCATTTCCCACCTGGATTAAATACATTTGCAAAGAATAATAACAAAAAATGGGAGGATTTGTCTTGCTGTTTCACCATCAGCATAGAAGATTTGAATGGTATTTCTGTGATTTGAATGAAATTAATGATTTTGCCATTTTACACGCTTTCAGGCAAGTGATTGCTTTTACTCCCTTGGTTTTCTCCCAGAAGCATCTGAAATAATAAACTGCAGGCCTGTTGGCTTGCTGTTGAATATACACAATGACTGAGAACAGCCTTGACAAGAGAAGACCCCTGATTATCGCTCTGGTTGTTCTGTTTGTGCCTCAATATATGGTCCAAATCCACTTCTACTGAAAGCTCTTAAATAGCAGTGAAATCACGCCTGTTTGTCTAATAGGACTATAACAGTATTTAACACAGGCATTCTCTCAACAGGTAAGGTTATGTAAAGGCCAGACTCAGCTATGGGACTTGTAGGACAGAAGAACAGCAGAAAAAAAATGCATTGTAGATGACTTCTGAAGTGAGGGAAGGAAGAGAGTTGTGCCCTTGTCTAGTGTATCCCTAAGGACCTAAGGCATGGGTGCAGAACCTTTTCAGTTTCTGAGCTCCTCCACTTGGAGAGCTGAGCCATCAGAAGCCATGTGCCCACATAATGATTACTTAGAGAAGACACTTCTAAACTGGACTTTACTCATGCTTCCTACTTCATAGGTGATAGAGCATCAGGCACAGCTGCTAAAGCACATGTTTAAAATCTAGATATACAGTGGTACCTTGGGTTAAGTACTTAATTTGTTCCAGAGGTCCATTCTTAACCTGAAATTGTTCTTAACCTGAAGCACCACTTTAGCTAATGGGGCCTCCCGCTGCCGTTGTGCCGCAGGAGCACAATTTCTGTTCTTATCCTGAAGCAAAGTTCTTAACCCAAGGTACTATTTCTGGGTTAGAGGAGTCTGTAACCTGAAGCCTCTGTAACCTGAAGCATATGTAACCCGAGGTACCACTGTAATTCAGTCCAACAGAACTATGCTAAGTTTAGATTATGAAAAAAAGGCTTTTGGTGCTTCCAAAGTGTAAGTAAGAAAAAATTAACAGGGTTGTGCAAATAGAACCAAATTGCTATGCTTTTTATTTATGTTTATTTATTTATTTATTAAATTTATATACTTTGAATTAAGCACTGCTTTGGGCATTCTTTGAGGAAGGGTGATCGTTTCCTCCCTACTGCTGTCAATCAGCACATCCAGCCCCACGGGGGACCATTCCATCTCATTCCTGTCAGGACAACATCCAGCTCTCTACATCTTTCAAAATACAGCACAATAAAAGCATCTATGTCAGCTTGTGGAGTCAACTAGCAGCCACATCCTCCTCCCACCTGCGGCTCATTGAAGCTCTGCCACCCAGACCTCCCCGTAGAAGAACTAAAACATTTCCAATAGTATTAGCAAGCATGGTATCATCATCCTTCAGCATCAGCACTCCTCAGCAAGCAAGGCCAAATGGGGCTATTCATCTATCTTCAAGGTTTTACAATTGTTAAGGAAGTAGCTATCCAGATAAACATTTGACAAGTAATTATTATCACAGTGCTGACTTGCTGTGTTATGAGCCCATTTTTCTAATGTAAACACCCTTCTAGTTATTGCATCCTGCCAATGGTGCTGTTTTCTGGACTGAAACTAGGCTGTTTGAAGGTCATGGGAGCAGCTGGTATATTGCTGGCTTTGGACTCTTTAAAAACTTTTTCTTTTCAAAAGGATGTTACTTTGATCAAAGGATCATATTATTACCATTCCGTGCAATATCTATTCTTCTTTCTTTCTGATCTGTATCATGCATACTCAGAGAAACTGAAATATTAAAGGGGCACTGGCCCAAGACCCCCACCCCAGGGGAAAAAAAGCCTTGTTGTTTTGTCTTGTGCCATTGCAATCTACTGAATATACAACACAGCTTCACAACCTTCCTGGACTTCATACATTTTAAAAAATACAAACTGTTTTCTTTTTATTGCTATTTTTATACTAACGTTAATGAAAATTTCAAAAACAAAAATGCAGAAAAAATAGCAAGGGAGCTTAGAATTTCAGAAGAACCTGCGAGATGGGAGAAATGTTAATATTCAAAATCAAAGTGCTCTGTTTTAACTCTTCCAGTCTGCAATAATTTGACCAGGGGCATTTCATAACAGTGTGATTTGAACATTATGTCCCATGGAGGGGTGCATGGGCACACTGTATTTCCCAGCTGCTATCATTAAGCGGTCGCTTACAACCACCATCACCAGGAACCAAAGAAGTCCACAACCTTGGTTTTTGAATGTAATCTGTTCTGGAAGACCATTTGAGTTCTGAAACATTCAAAAACTGAAAACTCAATAGCTGACAGCTAGGCCTCAGGATCTTGTACTCAGCGGAAGTTGCGTGGCATGTTCGACTTCTAAGGTGTGTTCGAAAACCGAAGCATTTACTTCTGGGTTCACGGTGTTTGAAAACTGAAATGTTCTTCAATGGAGACGTTCAAAAACTGAGGTACCATTGTAAATGAATACTGGTCTAATCTATGAGCCATGATGAAGCCAAATATACAAAATGCAGCACATAAAATTGTAAGTTATTATAGTTACTTATTTTTATGAATAGTTACCATACACAGTGGTACCTCAGGTATTCGTTCTGGAGGTACATTTTTAACCTGAAACTGTTCTTAACCTGAGGTACCACTTTAGCTAATGGGGCCTCCCGCTGCTGCCATGCCACCGCTGCACGATTTCTGTTCTCATCCTGAAGCAAAGTTCTTAACCTGACGTACTATTTCTGGGTTAGCAGAGTCTGTAACCTAAAGCGTCTGTAACCCTAGGTACCACTGTACACCATTACAAAGTGTAAACATATTCTTGCTGCCACAAAAGCATAAGCAACAAGTTTGTTAAAGTTTTTTGATAGTACTTTGCTTCTTGGAGGTTTTGCTGGCTTAAAACACCACCACTGCATACCAAAAACCAGGCAGTTGTCCCCATAAGGCATCCAGATGTTTTGGATTCCAACTTCCATCAGCCCTTGCCAGAGGGGCCAATAGTCAGGGAGAAAGGAGTTGAACTCCCAAACACCTTAAGGCAACTAGAATGCATCTCTTTCAAAGACTTGCTTTTGTTGCTAATACATTCTTGGCCATTCTGTTTTACCCTTACATTAGAATCAATATGAATAATCCTGGGCAATCTACAAATGCATTTAGAATTTTGGCCTACAGCATGCCCATTTCCCTATTTAAAGAATTAAAAAATAAATCAATCAGTGTGAATCAGCTTGACATTGAGATTTTCAGAAAATTCCATCCCTATTCAAGACTTTCCAATGGACTGACAAGGTGATCCTTAATCAAGGATGGTTACAGAAGTTGTTTCAAAGTAAGATTTTATAAAAGCCAAGCCCACCAAACAAAGCCTTTTCTTCCCTCCCCTAAAACAAAGCAATACAAAACACAAAATAATAGAGATGGAGATACGTATCATTTGCACAATTTCACCATTGCAGTGGTTTTTTTTAAAGAAATAAAACTACAAAAATCTCACACAACACATTTTCTGATTAAGGTAAAGGGCACATGTGAAAAATTCCCCCAGCTACTTTCAGGAATTATAAATTTTGGCATGAATTAAACTGGAAAGGGGTTTTGGAATCCCAGAACAATTAGGAAACAAAAGTGCTCTTAGCTCTTAAGAGAAAGAAACCAAATATTTCATTTCATATGTGCTACATAATATCTGGCACCCTCTCAGACCACTGTGAAACAAATAATGAGCTTAAATAAGTCCTAGCAAAATGCTTGCCTTTTCTGACACTTTGCCTTAAAGAGGCAAACACTGCATTCTCAAGAAGCTACAGAACACTAAACAATAAGGATATTTGAAAAACAATTTCTGTCCACTACCAAAAATATACATGATTTCCACACAGAGGTACAACTGCATTTCTCTCCCTGTGTGTCAAGTAAGCTGTTTTGGAAAAATGTTGGGAAAGTTGCATGCAATATTTTATTTTTTAAAATAAACATAGGGTGGCATTCAACTAACCCATCCCATCAGCACAATAATTTTTGCTTATGCCATGGGATTTCCCTGCTCTCTGCACCCCATGCCCTCTCCAGATCAGATCCAAGGGGTTGAGGGATTCCTGGAACAGATTTAGGAGGCATGCAGGGAAGGAGAGGAAAGGAATGTTACATTATGCAAGCAAAAATCTTTGTGCTGATGGAACATTAATGTAGCACTACATTGAGAACAACCCACTTATCCCATTTTAAAAAAAGTAAAATGTAATTCAATTTTCAAAATGAACTATTGGTGATATCCAGTGCTACTCACTGAATACCCACTGAAATGAAGTCCATTGCTCTCAATGGGTCTACAATGAGTATGACTGATGCTAGATCACTCAGTATATTTACATTAAAGAAACTGTGTTTAGATTGTGTGTTTGTGTGTGTGTGTGTGTGTGTGTGTGTGTGTGTGTACAGATGTCAGATTATAACTTGTTGTGATGTGATACTAGTACAAAAGATATAATTTTGCAAATTCTCTAAAATTATGTTCTAAACATTGTTTTTTATAACGATCTTGCAATCAAATGCCATGTATTAAACATTTTATCCTACCTTCTAAAGTCCTTTTCTTTTGTTTCATGCTGTTTAGATTGTAAGCCTGAGGGAAAGAGCTGATCTCTATAAACTGCCTCTGGAATTTTTTTCATCGTAAGAAAGAAGCTCAGAGAAGGTAGGTTGTAAAATGAACGCCTAGAACCTATTTTCTCTGACCCTCTTCTCTGGAACAGGTTCTGAGATAAAGTTGGGCTCCATGAAAACATCTCTCTTTTTTATTTGTAGTGAGTTTTGACTAGCTTTTTGGGAAACTTTGCTGTGTGTTCATTTTGCTTTTCAGAAATAATTTGCTCAACTTCTCCTAGGAAAATAATACTTTTATGTCCTCTCAAAATGTCACCTGATTACCTGAGCAAGTTAGAATAGCCTAAATACCAATGTTGTGAAGACTTCTCCCTAAGGGTTAGACTATGCCAATAATTCCTCTGAAACTTGCCAGGACTTCCAAGACAATGGATAAGTCTTTGATGTCTGAAGGAAAGTGGTTTCTCTTTCTTATATTTACTTGTATAGTTCAGTGCCCTTCAGTCGTAAACTAAAAAGGAACTCCAACACGTATTTAGCCTTGATCAGTAATAGAAACCATGGGCAACAGGGGATGGGTGAGGAGGGACATGAGTTGGAATGTTGTCACAAAAGGCATGACTTGATCCATTCTGCTGCACAAAAATATATCGTAGTTATCCTGACTGAACATTTTTATACAAATGTCACCCCCTGGACCTGTCTTGTTCTTCTCTGTAGTTTTTGTCTTCCTGTCACTCAGGTAGCTCTTCCAACATGTGCTGTCTTACAACTTGCTGTATCTTCTGTGTTCCCTCAGAGCTTTATTTTAGTCCATTTGCAGACTGATGAAGTTCAAGTAGCTCTTTCTGTTCTATATATAGCTCAAATTCTGCAGCGATTTATTATCTCATTATATCTTTGGCATTAACGCTAGAGCCAAGACAAAACAATCTGCTTAGTTTTGCTTTCATTTTTCTTATTTTCAAAAAGAGCCTCCACTTTTCAGAGCGCTTTTGTCTTTTTCAGACAGGCTCTGAAATTCACCAATTTTAATTGTTTAAACGCCAAATAAGTTCTGTACAAATCTCCCACTATATTTATGGCCAACCAATAATATATTATTTTATTTGTGTCAGGTTTCTGTACCTCAGAAGGTAGCTACAAGCAACAGAGCTTTTTAAATGGCTCCCCCTTATCTGTAAAACTCCCTGGTTAAGACCACCCGCGAAGCTATCCAGGTGCTGTGGAGGATGACAACATTTATACTTCATGCATAGTGGGTTGGTGCAGTTACTGGACACCTCTGCTTTTTTAAAAAAAACCCTTCATTTTACAGGTTTTGGAATTTGTGTTTTGAAGTGATTTTAGTGACTGTGAATGGCATAGCAGTATTTCTAATTGTCGTGTTAAGCTGCTTTGGAGATCCTTCTGCATTGAAAGGGAAGGAGAAATGGAATAAATATATAAACACATTACATGCCACACATGTAAATGCAAAACTACTGATGATCACAATCTGTAACACTTGTTCTTGGTTTACTACACACCCTTAACTTTAAAGACTAGAGCACTAGGACTGCACCATCACCTTTGCATTCATCCAAAAGAAACCCAAATCACACAAAGGCAAAAGAAGTAGCAACAGCACTTGTGTTGCTTCCAACTCTCTCTAAAGAAATGTACATATGGGCAGGTGAAGGCGGAAACAGATGCAGTGCATCAGTTTCTTACTGATGTGGTGGAGAACTGGAACTTCAGCTCCCAGCATGTGTAGTCCTGGGCACAAGCAGATTCTCTTTCCCAGTGGGGATGCTGGTGTTTGGGAGTCTCAGTCGCTTTCTCAGTGTGAAAGTAAAACTGGGCATGCCTGCAATCCCCTTTGCCTGGGTGAAGGTAAGTTTTATCACCTCGGGGCAATGGAAGGGGAAAGCATCAGTTAGAAGGACCGGAGTAAAAACAACTTTGCTGTCATGGATTGCAGCAGGCTGCATCTAGGGCTATGTTCACCTTGTTCTGCTCAGAAGCATTTGATACAGGGCACCTGTAATCAGCTGCTGGAGATATCCCTGTGGACAACTGTAAGTTCAGCGACGGCAGCATCTTGGTAAATGTATGAAGCATGTACAATGTAAGAAGCATAATAATATAAAATAAAAGACATCTTTTAGACTTCTTGCAAAACTAGATGGCTGCAAACGCAAAACCCAAGCATCAAAAGCAAAACAAGTATTAAGGTGCAAAAAGAATTGGGCATAGGAAATCATTCAGAAAGTCAAATGTTGCTTGCATCATCATTTGACATCTCCAGGCATTGTGAAGTCCCACTACTGTGCTACTAGTGGGAGTAATGTAACTTAGTACTGGAAGTTCTTAAGCAATCTTTTTGACACCCAGTGAATTGGCATAAAATACAATTCTAGAATGAATTAAACTTCCTGACTTACTCCTGACATTAATTAGTCCCTGGTAGTTGATGGTAACTACTGATAACAGGTAATTATTCAGGATTTTGGGGGGGATTGTTAATGAAAGAAGATAGGTTGCCTGGTAATCAAAAGCCGATTGAATAGAGGTCAAGTAAATTAACAAGACAACACTCCAAACTGCCATCCTAGATATGTAATGTCTTTATTAGGATTTTCTTCTTGTTGTTATGGTGTAAACTATGATAGGCTCACCAGAACAAAGGTATCATGGCAAATCATTAAAAGTTCAGTTTTGGAAGAAAACTGCAATTCTCATTTGGAGTGCCTCTTGATAATACATTGTAGTATTGCAATATGCTACAACATGGTCTGCATTCTGCAAGCTATTCGTGCACACACGACTAGCTTGCAAAACAGGGACACAGTGATCAACCAGCAGCCTATTAATGCACATCCAGTCTGGCTTGCAGCAGCCAGGGTCAGCTCACAGCTATCTTAATTCCTTGCATCTTGTGGGGTCAGGAGACTATATTTCTTTCTCTTTGGCTGAGCTTTTCTATGCAAGTGAACGAAATAAAGGAAGGAGACACTGCAATGTACACAAGTAAGTACCATACATTTATGCGTACAGTGGGAAAGAAAGGGTTGCAACTGGGAACAAAGGACATGTCCCTAGGATCTGTATTTTTCCTGGGGAAGTTCTCTAATTATCCTAAAGCTCCTGGAATTCAGTTGTGCCGGGTATTGTCAACTGAGTTTGGCTGGCCCCAGTATGGATGAACTAAAGTGTCTTAAAAATAAACTTTTAAACATCCTTTTAGGATACATTCCTACAAATAGTTGCATCAAATTAGCATATTACTGTTAAATGCAGCTCGTTGTATCATCACATGCAATCGTTCAAACACCATTCATATCAAGTACTCACACAGATTTTGAATGGTTAACAACAGGGCTGGGGGACAGCCCTAAGAGACAAATAAGGCCCTCCAAGTGCCTCGATCTGGCCCTTAGGATTCTCCCCAGGCCACATCCTACTTTGGCCTCCTCTATGCCTTCATTATAGAAGGGGAAGAAATGGAGGCAGTGAGAGATTTTACTTTCTTGGGCTCCATGATCACTGCAGATGGGGACAGCAGTCACGAAATTAAAAGACGCCTGCTCCTTGGGAGAAAGGCGATGGCAAACCTAGACAACATCTTAAAATGCAGAGACATCACCTTGCCAACAAAGGTCCGTATAGTAAAAGCCATGGTTTTCCCAGTAGTGATGTATGGAAGTGAAAGCTGGACCATAAAGAAGGCTGATCGCCGAAGAATTGATGCTTTTGAATTATGGTGCTGGAGGAGACTCTTGAGAGTCCCATGGACTGCAAGAAGATCAAACCTATCCATTCTTGAGGAAATCAGCCCTGAGTGCTCACTGGAAGGACAGATCCTGAAGCTGAGGCTCCAATATTTTGGCCACCTCATGAGAAGAGAAGACTCCCTGGAAAAGACCCTGATGTTGGGAAAGATGGAGGGCACAAGGAGAAGGGGACGACAGAGGACGAGATGGTTGGATAGTGTTCTTGAGGCTACCAGCATGAGTTTGAGCAGACTGAGGGAGGCAGTGGAAGACAGAAGTGCCTGGCGTGCTCTGGTCCATGGGGTCACGAAGAGTCGGAAACGACTAAACAACAACAAATGCCTTCATTCAGTATTTTTGCCTGGCTGGAATGTGATTGTTAGACAAGCGTTTGCACAACGAGTTGAGAATTTCCATTGGTTCCTATGGAGAAATTTCTAATGTGTTCCTGACCATGGAACTTTGAGCCCAAAATGATGAAAAAGCCCAGGCAAACACAGGAAAATGCTCTGAAACCTTGCAAAAGGCAAGCAATAAGGTGAAAAAATGCTCTCTTATTGGTCCGATCTCTTCCTTCCCTCCCTCCCACTATTGTTTCTGGCAAAACAGCTGCTGCACACCAGCAAAACACAAAAAAAGAAGGCTTGTTTAAGGCTCCTTATTAGTTTACAGCACTACACACAGGTCCGGCTGTCTAGATAGCTGAACCTGCTGTGTGTATAGTGAGGTTTAGGAACCAATTCCTTGTGTTTGGATAAGTGAATTTTCATATAATGAGCATTTGGATAGTAGGACCTACGTGTAATTTGACCAATAATCATGGTTTTCCAGTGCTTCTCCTCCAGCTGTCATTTTGCCATGGATGCTTTTCAAAATCTTGTTCTCAATAGATATGTGATAAACCAGTTCTGCAACTCTTATCACCCTTTATGCCTCAAAATCCTATTGCATTTTCATTGGCTTCTACCAACCAAGCCACAGGCATCAAGCTGAAAACAAAATGCATTTTAAGAGTGTAATTTTAAGACTTAAGTGTCTTCAGGCTGGTTTATAAATGTGCCCCCCCCGAAAAACACACAACTACACCA